CGCCTTCTCTGGACTATGGCACCAGGAAGACGGAGGTGGATAGAACAGGGTCCCTGCCTTCCTGAGGAAAGAGGATGGTAAGCAGGTAATTAGGGTAGGGAGATAAGCCCTATTATTGAAATGTGAACAAGGATAAAATGCTTAACTCTGCAGGAAATTAGAGAAGACCTCCTGAAGGAGGTGACCTTCAAGCTGAGTCTTGAAGGATGAACAGGAGTTTCTCAGGCGGGCGTGAGGAAGGGGGCATTTAGGTGGCGAGTGCTGCCCAAGGGAAGCCGTGGAGTATAGAGGCCAAGAACAGGGACCTTGGACCCAGTTGTGGCCATTCACTGAGTGACCTGGAGCAAGATGCTGATCTCCTTTGAGCTTGTTTCTTCATTTGTGAATAATAGTCCCGATGTCCTAGGGTTATCATAAAGATCAAAGGAAACACATGTTTTGATGCATGTTAGTTATTAGTAGTAGGCGTGGAGGTGGAAAAGAACGTGGAGTACAAGGTGAGTGTGGACGAATGTTTGGTCTGGTAGAGGCACGAAAGAAAGACCTTTGGGCTGAGGTGTTGGGACTCAATCCTACGGGTGGCGGGGGCAGCTGGAGGTCAGGGGAGCAGCTAGTATCCAAGGGTGAGGCCTGAGCCGGGCAGCAGCAAGCAGTGGGCTTGGAGAGGAGCAGATGACGGGCTGGGAAGCAGGGCTGTGTTATATGTAGAAGCCCATACTATACTATACAATATAGCACTGTATTATATAGTGTGGACTTCAGTCTGCGGGCAACAGGGGAACATTTTCAGTTTTGAAGAGAAGAATACTACTTGTTTTAGGAAAACTATCCCAGATATAGTAATGGCAGGTAGTATGGAGAGTTAAGAGTTGGAGGGAAAGAGACATCGTAGGAACTAGCCACACTCTAGGAAGAAATGCGCGAGCCGAAGGAATGGAGAGGAGAAAGCAGACGTGGCAGGTTTCTGTCATGTAGACCTTGCTGTGTTCCGTGATGGATCCGAGTCAGCCTCCAGGAAGGTACCTAATACATTGAAAGACAAAAACACACGTAAGGCGCCTCACTGGGGATAAGAGTTAGAAAGCTCGAAGGTCTTTCCTGTGTAGTTGCTAAATTAGGGCATAAATTAAACTATCATTTACAGAGAACTTGGTTGGAGTCACATGCGGAGTGCTGTCTATACAATATCTCATTTAACTCTCACAAGAACTTCTAGTTCTCCTGGTTGGAGAAACTGGGCTTGAGAGATTCAATAACTGGCCTCAGCTCTCTGCCAGGATGTGGCAGAGTTGGGAATCAAGCTCAAATCTCTTTGAAAACAAAATCCATGTTCTTAAGATGCACTTTTTGGAGTCCAAAGCCCCCGTGAGAGCCACGTGGGAGATGGACTCAGCTCTTGGCTGTTGGGGTGAGAGACAGGGAGAGGCTAAAACGTCATTGCGGATGTTTCTAGGCTGTGTGACACATAGCAGTGACGTTGACTGAGATTGGGAGCACAAGTGCAGTTGTAGTTCTTTTGGGGGAAATGATGAGACTTTAGTTTTAGGTGGGTATGGCGAATTTCCACTTGTGGTGGGCTATCCACAGGATGTGCTCTATAAGCAGAAATTCAGCTCTAACACTCAGTACTTAGGGTGGAGTCAGAGTACAGATTGGGGAGTCATTGCCTCTGAGATGCACTTGACCCCCACAAGGAGGGAGCAGGGAGGGAAGAGAAGCCAGTGAGTGGGACTGAGAGGTGGTGAGACTCAGAGGAAGGCTGGAGGTGAAGGACGTTGCAGAAGCCCGGGGAGGGAGGCTGGAAAAGGGAGCGTCCTGGCAGGGTCAGAGGCCTGCGAAAGCTGAGGGGAGGGTGGGACTGAGGAGGTGGCAGTGGGGCCGAGGGCACCGGTGGAGTTGGACAGCAGCTTCAGCCAATTGCAAACCCATTTGCAGGTGAAATCCGTTTAAGGAGTGTGGGGAGGGAGTGAAGATGTCTAGCTGGTGGTGAGGGTGAGTTGGGGAGAAGGAAGGTTGATTTCTGTTTCATGAGGTGAGCGTGTTGGGAAGCTAAGGGTAAGGAAAAGGGGAGACTGAAAATAGTAGGGAAAGGTAAGAGGCAGTGGGGTTGGAGGCAGGAGGGGTCTGGATCAGACCTCCCAGAGGGGCCCTGGAGGATCGTCCTCAGAGACCAGGCAAGGTGCAGGTATGGAGGCATTTTGAGGCTGCGGCGGGAAGGGGAGTGAGTGAGCAGGGTGGGCTGGCTTTTCCTTCTCAGTGTGAGCTGAGGAATTGATCTGAGAACTAGGGAGTAGATCAAGAAGAAAGGAGGTGGGTTGATATAGCTGGTTGCAGGCGTCGGGGCAGGGAGTTAGTGAGGCAAATACAGACTTGTGAACAGCCTTCAGGGGCCAGTTGGAGATTCAAAAATGTGAGTTTTTAAAGGTGCCAGTGACCACAGGTAGATTACGTGCCAACGTGCCAAGCAACCAGGGAGCAGGAACAGAGGCACGCGGTCCCGGACCCAGACGGTGGGTGCACAAGGATGGCCACCCTGATCAAACTCTGAGTGCTTTGCCATCTGTAGCCGTGGGGAGCTCTGTGTGGGAGGAGGAAGAGGCTGCACTATCTCCATCGGTCACCTCACTGCCCTCGCTTCTCTGAGTAGCCAGTCATTGTTCTGTTATTAATAATTCTTCCAGACCTTTTCTAAAAAATGCATTAAAATTCTTGCCAGCATGACCTCTCTAAGTAATGAGATCGGTAAGTTTATTAACCTCTGTGAGAAGTGGATTTTCTTGCTCTATGGGAGCAGATAATCTCTTGGAGGGAATGAACATCAATGCGCTGACCTGGAGGGCAGAGGCAGTGTGGGGGTGGCTCGTCTGCATCCTTCCCCCTCGTCTGACTTGGCGTGTGTCTCATGGAGGACGGGCTGATTGCCTCAGCCCACTCAGAGTCCAGCAGCAGCCCAGAGTCGAGGTGGTCAGAGACACCGAACCATAACAAATCCAAGTTCCTGTCAGTGAGTCTCCTTCACTAAGCACGAGAAGGGGAGCGTTGAATCTTACACAGACAAGAATTTCTAGACTGGGTGTCATTCGCAGTAGCCTGGGACCCGCTGGAGTTGGGAGGGGTGGCAGGATACCTGCTGGGTGACTGTGTTGAAACACATTCCCTGTCGTCCTGGTGTTGGCCTTCAAATCTGCACGTGTAATGGATGTTTGACGTAAGCTACCTGCTGGGCGTCTAGCTGCGTCGTGGTCATTCATGACTTCATCCTCATTAGTTGGACGTTTCAAGCTGCTAAAACCCAGCCCAACCTCCCAGCCCTCTGTGTACCCTAAATGTTTGGTCCAGGCCCGCCTATGTTGTCGGTCACATAAAACATCTCATTACAATATGAAGTTACGTCCACATACCATCATAATCTGCGGCTCCCCTACCCTTGCCATCCAGACCAGCGCTGTCCAACAGGAATAGGATTATGTGTGTAATTTTACATTTTCCAGTATCCACATTTAAAAGAAACAGGTGAAATTATTAATACTGATATGGCCAAACTATTATCATTTCAACATGTAATCTATGGTGAGTCCCTCTCACCGTGGAATTTACATTCTAGTGAGGAGACAGACTCCGGCTTTTCCTACCTGTCCCTCCCAAATACAACGTATAAATGGATCCACAGATAAAATACCTGCGGCTGAGCTCAGTGCCAGAGGGACAGCAGCAAGGGGGGACTGACTTCAGAACGTGTGGTTGCGAGATGCCCCTCTGAAGAGGTGACATTTAAGCTGCTACCTCATGCGAAAAAGGCAGGCAGAGTGTGCTAGGTGGAGGGAGGAGCAGGTGCAAAGACCTTGAGTGGGAAGGAGCCCTCTGGAATGTTTGAGGAACTGCAATCAGACCAGCAGGGCAGGATTGCAGTGAGTGGGGGAGGGTGCCTGTCTGGGGTTGGAGAGAGAACTAGGCAAGGATGAAATCGGGCAGGCCCTTGTTAGCTGTGGCACGGACTATGGATTTTATTTGATGTGCAGTGAGATTGCATAAGATTGAAGGGTTTTAATAATTGAAGGGTGTGATCCTTCAGTATTTTTTTTTTAATTTAGTTTTTTTGGGTGGGTAGAGACAGGGTCTCGCTCTGTCACTAAGGCTGGAGTGCAGTGGCTCTCAGCAGCCTTACACTCCTAGGATCAAGTAATCCTCCTGCCTCAGCCTCCCAAGCAGCTGGGACTACAGGCATGTGCCACGATGCCTGGCTAATTTTTAATTCTTTGTAGAGACGGGGTCTTGCTGTGTTGTCCAGGCTGGTCTTAAACTCCTGGCCTCAAGCAAGCCTCCTGCCTCAGCCTCCCAAGTATCGGGATTACAGGCAAGAGTCACTGCACCTGGCCCCTTCTGCAGTTTTGAGAAGACCACGCTGGCACTCTGGAGGACGCGCTGGAAGGGGATGAGAGTTGGAGGAAGCAGGGAGACCGACGAAAGGTCTCCAGGCCAAAGCGGATGCTGGCTGAGGCTGAGAAGAGGGAGAGAAGCGGATGAGCTCTGCAGATGGTGTGGAGTTGGATTTGTCAGAGCTTTCAGATGGGTGGGATATGGCGTAAGGGGTGAGGAGAGGGGGAATAGAGGAGCCCTTTGGGTTTGGGTTTGTGCTGCCAGTAGATGTGGGGAAGCCTTGGCGGAGGGGCATGTTGGGACGGCGAGGAGACAAGCTCAGTAGCAGCTCGTCAGCTTGAGGGTGCGCGTGGCGCTGGGAGGAGGCGGCAAGCGTGTGAATCCGGGCTCAGCAGAGGTCAGATGGGAGGAGGCTGGGTGAGGCCGCTGAGGCAGGGAGGGCAGGCGGAGGAGGAGAGGTCTCAGGCTCAAGCCTGCAGCGCTATCCTTCAGGTGGCCACAGAGGAGGAGTGGCCAGTGAGGGAGGAAGAACGCTGGGGTGGTGGCACCAGGGTGGCAGGTGGAGAAGTGTCCCAAGGAGGAGGGTTGTGCATTGATGTTGAGCACTGCTGAGAGGTGGCAGCATGGCCGCCGTGGGTGCCCCTGACCTGAGCCCAGGCAGGCGTGAGGTGGGGCCCACAGCCAGGTGGGTTGGAAGGTGAGTGCGAGGCTGGGAGGGGGGTTGTGGGGCCGCTTTGTTTTTTTTTTTTTTTTGAGACAGAGTCTCACTCTGTTGCCCTGGCTAGAGTGAGTGCTGTGGCTTCATCATAACTCACAGCAACCTCAAACTCCTGGGCTCAAGCGATCCTCCTGCCTCAGCCTCCGGAGTAGCTGGGACTACAGGCATGTGCCACCATGCCCGGCTAATTTTTTCTACATATTTCTAGTTGTCCGATTAATTTCTTTCTATTTCGCTCTTGCTCAGGCTGGTTTCGAACTCCTGAGCTCAAACAATCCGCCCGCCTCGGCCTCCCAGAGAGCTAGGATGACAGGTGTGAGCCACCGCGCCCGGCCTGTGGGGCCACTTTTTGAAGAAGCGGACTGTTAAGGGAGCGGAGCAGTAGGACAGTGGCACGAGAGGCTGCAGGTGCTGGAGGAATGTGAAGACGGAACCGCAGCGCGCGTGCTGCCTGAGGGCGCGGGGCAGGGCCACGTGCTGCGGGGGAGCTGCGGGCGGGTTGGGGGCGGTGGGAGCCGCGGCTCCTCTTTCGTAGGAAGCTGGGGGTGGGGCGCAGGGCAGGCTGTGGGAAGCTGCAGACTGTGGCACTGCTGTCAGGGAGTGGGTGGCAAGCCCACCAGAGAAACACAGGCCTGGGGCCACTGCAGAGTGACAGTTTGAGGTCAGAAAACACGAATTCAGTGTGGAACTTGTCCACCCAGTTTTGTGCCCTTGCCCAGTGGCTTGGGTGTGGGTGTGGAGCAGGTGGGTGTCAGGGTGCATCAGGCTGGGGCTGGGCCACCTGGGGGTCGGCGGGGAGGCATCCTCGTGGGATCAGTGACCACGGGGGACCGTGGGATGGCTTCGGGCCGTCCAAGGAAGACGACGAAGTGGGAGGTGGGTGGCGAGGAGTGGTAGTGAGTCGGTGGCTTGGAGGGGTCTCCGCTGGGAAGGGCCTGCGGGTGAGCTGGGAGGACGGCGGTGAGGGCGGGAAGCCGGGTCGGCTGTTCCTGTTTCCAGGTGAGGATGGTGTCGGCGTGTGGCTGTGGGCGAGGGCCACTGCAGGGGCGCGGAAGAGAAGCCCGGGGCAGTCAAGGTCAAGGAGCCGAGTCCTTGGGGCCACCCATGGGATGGGCAGAGGAGGCGCTGGGCCGGAGCTGGAAGCCCTGGGTCAGGCAGGGGGTGGCTCGGAGGCAGGCGGGGCTGCGTGGCAGGGTGGTGTCTGGAGTGGCCTCACCTCTGAGGGCACGGGGAGCCACATGACACCAGTCCCCTCCCTTTGTGTTCTGCGCGTGTGGGTGTGAGAGGGACAAAGCAGCTTTGGGGGGATGGGGAGCGTCGTCCTCAGGGACTGGCTGGTTCCAGTGAGGGCGTGAGGGGAGGGGGGCGCTCGGCCAGGGGCGCCGATGCCTGCCCATTGCAGCGTTCCCGGTGAGGCCGGGCGGTGGAGAGGCGGAGGGCCAGCTCAGGTCTGGGAGTGTCTGGAGGCTGGGTGACTGGTGTCGCCGAGGCGGGTGTGGGGTGGGGCAGGTCCTGGGTGGGTGAGGGAAAGGCTTGGGCATTTCGGGTGGACGGTGAGCTGCCCGTGAGCCAGCCCGGTGGTGCGCTTGCCCCAGATGCCGACTCGGACTTTGAAGACCGTAGTGGAAGCAGGAAAGACTGCAGGAGAGGAGGCGGCGGGCCCACTCGCCCCCATCTGGAATCCCGCGCTGGGCTCTGGGCATCAGAGGTCCTCCAGATGTCGCTGCGTGGAAGCGCGGAGCGCAGGGCGGGAGGGGGCTGGCTAGGAGGAGGGTTCTTGACGTGGGGTCTGGGAACACCGCGCTCACCCTATGGAGAGTTGCAGATACGTATGTGCTTTTCTGGGGAGGGTGTCCGTAGTTTTTATCAGATTTTCAACAGGGTCCTTGACCCAAAAGAGATTAGCACCGCCTGTTTAAAGGACTTGGGCATATTTAGCCTAGCGAAGGGAGAACGTGGGCCAGGAGGTGAGGGTGGGGAGGAGAGAGCCATCTCCAGGTAGATGACCAGCTGCTATTTGGGTTGGGGACTTGCTCTGTGTGGACCTGACGGGGGGACTCAGGTTGGTGGGAGGAAGCCTGGGTCTGGCTCTGTGTGGGCGTCTCAAGGAGCCTGAGAGCACGTGACATAGGTGGGGTCTGCACGGGGCAGGTGGCAGGAGGTGGCCTGTGTTGCCAGCCAACACTTCGTCCAGACCTTCTTGTTCTGAGGAGCAAACACTTTTGGGCATTGCCAGGTTTCCCTCGCCCTGCAAGGGACTGTCTTGAGGGCTGGCTTGAGGGATGGGGCCCCTGCAGGTGCTCAGGGTGCAGCTTCAAGCTGCCGAGGCCCCTGGAAGCCTGCGCGCCTTTCTGGAGACAGCACGTTAAATGTCACCTAAGTGAGTGGGCCCTTAGCTTGTCTTGGGGCTTCAGTTTACTCCTCTGTGACATGGAAATGACGGTCCTTACAGCATCGCCTTGGCGTGTGGGTGCTTATCTAGGGCGCTGAGTGCACCTTCGTGGGCCCCCAGTCGCCCACCTAGATGGTCTCTGGCTTTGGGTTCTCTTCCGCGAGGTGGAGCTGGGTGAGCCGAGCGCTGAATTGGGCTCGCCAGGCCTGCGGTTGAACGCAGCTTTGTCTCTCGGGGGGCCCTGCGCTCCCCCTCGCCGGCGTGCTCCGAGTGATGGCTGGGGCTCCTGCCTTACTTTGGCACCGACAGCATCTGATCCACGGTATTTAAAGGTGACTCCCGTGGGACAGAACTGCCGATTAATCGAGCTTGACTTTGTGAGAGGGTCCTTTTTTTTTTTCTTTAAGCAGACATGCTTCGCCAAGATGCAATATTCTGAAAAACTGGAATTGGGATCCCGCAGCCTGAGTGAAAGCCCTACGGCTTGCTATCAGGGAGGGAGCTTAAAAAAGCCATTCCTTGGCTTCTCCCATGAATTTTGAATGTTCTGAAGGCGTTGCCCTGCGAAGGAAACAGTGCCTCACGCCTTAAATAATTAAGTGAAGTACACTGAGAATGGCAGTGTCCGGGCCGGGAGCCTCTCCAGGGCAGAGCTGCGTGGGCGCGAGGTCGGCCTCAGAGCAAAAACTGATGCAGCTTCAAATGCCGCCTTGTAAGCATTTGGTGAAACTGGCACGACTGTGGAAATGTCACGAAAGAGGATGAAGGTGGATGTGACAGAAGGCATGTTTCTTCTGAGAGGCTGCACCGCTCAGCTGTGTGTGTCAGACCTGGGAATTCTTGGTCGGTCTTATTTGCCTGTCCCCAGCCACGTGACTGTCCTCCCGCGATGACTGTGGCCTCGGGCCAAGTCTGTCTCCTCCCAACCACTACGGCGCTGGCACTGGTGTCTGTGTGTACTTGGTGGAAATTTCTGGAGAATCTGTGCAGGGACGAGAAGGCTACATTATCTTCTGGCAGAAGCCCCTCTCCTCAGGGTGACGGTGGCATCTCAGAATGAGCCGAGGGTCTCCCGGTCGTCTGCCCGTTCTGTGACTGCGCAGAGCTTCGACTCTGAGGCAGGTCCCTCTGACGTTCACATTTTGTAAGACTTACAGTTCCGTGAGAAAAATAGCCTTTATTTCAAAAGTATGACTTGAAGTCCAAAAGAAAAAGCAGAGACGTGCCTCAAGGAAGCTGTGGTAGCTAATCGACAGGGCAGGGCGGAAGGCAGAGATTTCCTCTGATGTTGTGACCACACAGCTGCTGGAATCTTCTAGATTCCTTTTGCCCAGAACCTCCTTGTTTTCCCTTTCTCGTCCTTTACGTCCCAGTTTCCCCCTGGTCCTTTTTCTCAGATTTCAGCAGAGGTCCTCAGAGTGACTCGATTGTTCAATCTGGTTGGATTGTGCGATCGCATCTATGAAGATATTATTCAGCTCGTGGTAGGAATCGAAATCTCGAACCAGTAAACCCGTTAGGCGGGGTTTGTGTCGATCAGCTGTACTGATACTAATCTTGACGAGACCAGGGTTGTGAGCTCTCCAAAGCCCACGTTGCTCACCCTCTTTTTGGCCTTGAATCAGAGTCTTTGTCGTACTCATCCGCCGTGCACGGCACAGGTGGTTCCCTGTGCCTGGGTTGTTTGTCTCAAGGATGGATGAGAGCTTTTTTTTTATTCTTTGTCTTTTTTTGGCCAGTTGTTGCAGCTGCTCTGTTGTGGCTGGGACACCCCTGGCTGTAATAGAGGGACTTACCTGTTGGGAACGTTAGAGGGAAGGTGTTTTAGTGATGCAGTTTTTAGGACTGGCTTTCCAATCCAGCAGCACTTCTCTCCGTAGAAGTTGGGGGTTTCAAGCCCCTCCATCCTAGGTGAGAGGTCAGACTGACTCTGAAGTAGTGAAATTTGGTTTTCTTTGTGCATCTTACAAAAATTGATTGTTTGATGTGTACCTTTTTCCCTGGAGCAAGTCTTTTACCCATTAAAGTTTAAGCTCACCTAGGGAATCATGCACGCAGCTTGGTGAGGAAGACTGAAATTTCACAGACTGAAATTATGATCTAAACCTGGATGGGATCTGGAGGTTTTCTAGGAAATTTGTTTTTAGAATGAAAGTTTTCAGGTAGCCTGTTCTGGGTAACAGGTAAAATCAGTTTCCCCCACAGCTGTGCAGTCAAATACTTTCATGGCAGAAGCAGAAACACTAAATGTTCTTAGGCCTCTTACGTTCTAAGGGGTTCTGATGCTTTGTGCTCCGGCTTATCAGAATCAACAGCTTTATTTAGATCACCTGTGTTGAAGTGGCAGCCAGTGGGAAGAGTGCTGCATCCAAGCAAGTCCGGGTGAGCGTTATCCTTGCAAATGGTAGATTTAGCCAGCGGTGCACTTCTTACATCCTAACTTTGCTCCTCTCTTCACTCACTCAACTAAGATTTACTGAGTACTTCCAGGGATGGCTAAGATTGCCTTGGCCCCCATCCTTGTAGAGCTTATAGCATAGCAGGGGTATTGAATGGGTATTGAATAATTACAAAAAGAATTACTCAA